TAGGTGTAATATCTGTTGTTATTGTGACTAGTTCTTTGGTTGGCAGGGTTGTCGTTTTGTTTGTTTTTTTTTTTTTTTTTTTTTTTTTCCTGGGTTTGTTTGTTTTATTGCTTTTGTTATATTAAAATGTTTGCTGATACCTTTATGAAAGTAACCAAAAATACCTGTGATCTTGTTTGCTGCCCCTCCAGGAGCTGTGAGATCATGTGATGATTTGTGGGTGAGATGGTGGCTGCAGTATCTGTGTAAGGAAGGGTTCTCCCTTTGTGAGGGGCAGGATAGAAGGGTGTAGGTAAAGAGTGACAGATGGGGGACAGCAAATGTTGTCTCTAAAGTACAGAAGACTGTTCAAAAAGGAAGATGCTTCTAAGTAATGCCCAAAGAAAGAGGAATGGAGTTGTTGATGCATAGTTTAATCTTTGGCTGGTATCTGTATTGGAATGATTTGGGGTACTTTGATAGACCTGAAGATAGGTTAGTGTAATGGTGTAGCCACACAAAGAAGTAAGGTAGTACGAAGTAAGTGTGACAGTGTTGGGCAAAGCAGGGCAGGTTTATATCATGTTATCACTGAACAGCAAGTGTTCCCTATGTTCAGATTATACTTTACCTTGCAGTAACTCATTTGTGTGTTCTTCTCTTAGGGCGCTACATTCCTTCTGGGGAATGTAGCTGCATGAGTTTGGGCTTCCTGTTCTGTCCCTGTGCCAGAGCTGCTGCTAACGTTCTGTGTGGGGAGAGCAGAAGTGAACCTGTGCACGTAGGCTGGTGCTGTAGCTAATTCAGTTTTGTGTGAGTTTAACCATGCCTTGCTAGAAAGTTGCAGCAACGTGAGCAAACTTTGCACTGAAGCAATGAGTGCTCCTTCCTACCAGTTCTGGTGTTGTGGAGAGAAGGGAGAAGGCAAGAAGATTAGAGGGCTTTGTGTTTGAGAGCAGCTTTTGGAAGCTTCTTAAGCTTCCCTGCATGTAATTTCAGTTCTCTATAAAGTATACAGAGTTTCTTGTAGTTTCTCTTCCTCTGAGAATTAAGTTTTGCGGTAGAAGATATAACTTGTAAATTCTATTCCACTGAGAAAGTGTTTGCTGGAAATCTATACCAGCTTCATTGCCTGGTATTAAAAGATTTGTCTAGTGCTTGCAGGCAAGCCATGATAAATTAGGTAGTGGTATCAGGGGTATCAGAAGTTGGCTTGCGTGCAGAGTCCATTGTGATTAGTTCAAATGTTGTAACTAGTGTATTTTGTAAACTTGGAATCTATGAAAATATGGAAAAAAAAATGTATTTTTTGCAGGAAGTTCTAGTACTTTCAAATTAAACTAAGATTTCTAATACGTCCTGACTTAGATTGTTTATATATGGAACTATTTTGAATGTAGCATCAGAAATCTCTTTCCTATCAGTAGGTAGAGATATCCTTAAATCTTATTCTGTTTTGTTTTATCTTGCAACTGTGTACATTAAATGTATGACTTGTATTTGTTTTTCAGATATATTGTAAAGATGCAGGTTTGATAAATTGCACTGGATGCCACTCTGACATAAGCTAAAAATTTCAGTAAAGTTTTTAGGCCTTGTATTTTTAAATTTTAATACACATTCTGAGACATGACATAAACGTATGCTGAGTTTGGACGAGATGTTTTGTTTTATTTTCTTTGTTTCATCTTAAATAGCCCAAGATGAAAAAGCCTTGGAGAAATACTGAAGTCTCTTCCCCTCTGCACACCATAGGGGATAGGCAATTTACTTCCTCCCTTCCTGCAATGCACTGCTGCATGATGGTGACGCAACTGAAAACTTCACTTTTGAATTGAAGGAAGTACTATTACGTAAAAACTGAGAGCAAAAGAAATTCTTATTTATGTAGCAAGTAGCTTTTTATGTGGGTTTGATGTTGGTGGGGCAGGGGGAGGGCTGGCAAGTGTTCTCATTTGACAGACAACTGTTGAATACCTCGAAGGAGGGCGAGTCCACAACCTCTGTGCAGCCTTTGCCAGTGCTCACTCATCCTTAAAATGATTGCTGATGTTCAGAGGCACCTTCTTTGCTCTAGCTGTACCCATTGCTTCTGCACCCAGCATTGGTTGCCACTGGAAAGAGAGCCCCTGTTGTCTTTGCATCTTCCCTCCAGATGTTTATACACAATTATAAGATCCAGCCTTAGGCTTGGTTTTTCTCTAAGCTGAATTAATGGAAGGTAGTTTAGCTTGATACCAGAGAATATAACAGGAATCTGGGTTACTATGGAGAATGGAAAAATCCTTGTAATGCAAGCTGATCAATATGCTTGAGGCCAGGCAGTGCTGCAGCTGAGCATATGGAGTTTACTCAATTCTTTTGACGCTTTCTAATTTCTGCTGAGGCCAGCTGGGGTCTGGAGCTGGAAGAAGTGCCCCTGTGCCATGCTCCTCCCTTAGCTCTTGTTTTGGGAAGCTCTGGTAGCTCAAGCACACCGCAGGGAGCCATGCTGGGTTTGGTGTTTTTCCCCAGGGTGCCATGCTGTCTGGATCTCTGCTCACTGCAGCAGTGCTTAAATGGCTTTTAGCAGGGCCAGCTTGATTCTTTGAGACTCAAATAATTTGGGTTCTGCCCGAGATTGTGCAGTAAGCTACCCACTGAAGCAGTGTCTTTGTTGTCAGTGTGGCTCTTTATGTGGTCGGATGGGGTGCACCTGTGTCTTAAGTCAATCGTGAATGTGTTCTGTTATTTTCCACTTACATTTCTTCCTTCTCATGAGCTTCTGCTGTGCTTCTGTTATGGGACTACTGTAATGTATTTAGCAAAGCATATACTGGCTATTTAAATTGATCATGAAGCATAGACTTGTTTTTTTTTTCCAAGTAATTTTAGGGTTTTTACTGTCATATCTTCTACAAATTTTCTTAGCTCATTAGAGATACGAAGTAGGTTTCAATTTGGTTTGGATTTCCTTGCATGGACTAGTATGATATGAACATCCTGAACACTTGTTAAAAATTCTGGGTATCTTGTAAATTAATTGTTCTGATAGCTGAAAGTTAACTTTATTCTGCTAGCTGTACTTAATTTGGTTCAATTTAATGTGATGGTTGTCTGAGAACTTCCTTCTAGCACATAACAACTTTGAGAATTCATCTGGTCTCATTTAGCAAGAGCGTTTGGGAAAGGGCAGAAGAATGCTTACCGTAGTGAAACAAAGCTCATAGGCTAGGTGTGTAGAATTCAGTGCTCAATGGGATAAATGACTTACAGGATTCCAATTTCCACATGAGAGTTAGTGTAGCAATGTGGAACATGTTCATCTGCTGTGAATTTCTGCAAGTTCAAACGGATTTTAGAGACCTGACCAGTAAGTCTGTTTCTTCCTCGGGTTTTATGCAAGGTGAGGTAACTGCTGCCATGGATCTGGTTTGCATTGCTGAGTGATCCAGCAGTGCTAAGCTTTGGAGCAGGTTGAAACGTGTCAGAACTTTAAAATTCAGCATCTAGTTAAGACTTTTCAAACTAATGTTGCTGCACGTTTGTCTTATGAAATCTGGTAAGGCTTAGAGTAAAGAAAGCTGCTGTATCACTTACGGGGAATTAAATAGCTCAACTGATTTATTCATTTGTATTGCACAATATATTACACAATCTGTCTATTTCAGTTGCTACACATCACAACCTCAAATATAGGATCTGAATCAGTAATTGTGTTTTGAAGTGTTAATGATGTCTGATTCTTTAAATTAATGTAGAAGATCCTCCAATGAAACTGTTCAGGTCTCTGTTTCGTTCCACATCTGTGAATGCTGATCCCTCTTGCCAGTTGGTTTATTCACTTATATGTATTTGCATTTGGGTGCTGGTGTGGAGTTTAAGCGCAAGGAAGTAATAAAGGAAAAAGTGTATTCCTTGTCCCAGATGGTTTTTGTCTCCAGTTTCTTCAGCTTCTGCACCCATCTGCCTGTGATGTTGTGCAGGATGGCTGAGGATGCAGGTTGTTCAAGGACATGTTTTTGTAGGCTGGTGTCTCTAGAAGAAAGCAAGAAATAGGTTTAGTGACTGTTATGGCTAGTTTAGTCTCGGTTTTGAATATTTAAGGTAGATAGTATGCCTAGTCTGCTGGCTTCTTTAGCAACAACAGAAACAAATCTAAAATGTGTATTCATACACTTGAATTTTCTCAGGCCTGAACCTGAGCTTTAACAGTTGTATTGTACGTGTAGCACAGGGAAAAAAAGATAAAAGCAGCAAATCCAAGTAGTTTCTAAGGAATCTTGTCAGTTGGGATCTGTTATGAGAATACTTCTGGTGTGCCAATGTCTTTTTACTTAAAAATACATTGGATATCCTAAGCATAACAATAAGCAACAGTCTGACATTTCCTGGAGCACAGCTTTCTTTTTTTTTTTTTGAGATGGAAGCAAAGTGTTTTTCCAGTGTCTTTGACTTGCAAACCCCTGAGAAACAAGCAAACAACAACAGAAAAAAAAATCTTTGTTCTCCTTATGGCCTAATTTGTCTTTGGGTGTGGAGATTGACCTCAGAGGTTCCTCCGTGTAAGGAAAGTTGCATATATATGCTGGGAGGAGGGAGAGCTTACTCAGAACAATAGCACAACTCATCTGGATAAGCTCTTAAAATTGCCAAGAATCACACCCTTACTAACCTCAACCATGTCTTGATAATAGCCTGTGGGTTGTAGGTTAAAATTCACTACGGTAAGGAGTATTTTTTTTTTTTTTTTTTTTAGCTTCTTGTTTCTTGTGCATCTGAGAGTATCTTATATTGAATTTTTTTCTTGACTCTCTCAAATACAGCTGTAATTGCATAGTTTTGTCATCTCTACTTCCCAACTGGTTACTTTGTATGACAGTTAATAAAATGTGGAGTCTCATTTACTGTTATATGTTATTTTAAAATGAAGCATGTCTGTTGGTTGAATAATCGTAGCTTTTTAATTCCTAAAAATATTAAACATGAACAATTCCCTATTATACTCTTTTTCTGCAAAGCTTATTTTCTATGATCAGTTCAAGAATGAAAAGTAACTTTTTAATCCATAGCTGCAGAGAAGTACAACTTAAGAGTTCTAATGTCAAGGAGGCCTTGTTAAGCTTGAAATCCTAAGTAATTAAAATTTAATTTAGTGATGAGAGTTTGTTGTCAAATAAATTACTTCTGGTAGATCAGGTTGCTTGTAAAGTTCTTCTAATACCAATGTCAGAGCACTTCAACCTTCTCTGAAGTAAAAGATAAATATGTCAGCGCTTTCAGATGCAAAGCTTCTGGAAATCTGCACCTTAAATATTCAGAATTCTCTATATAAATATTTTCTGGTGTCCACTAGAATTAACAGTACTCCATGATGGGTTTTTTTCAGGTCTGTGGTGTTTCTAGGCTGTCTTCCTGCTTACTAAGGCTACAATAAACGACAAGTAAAACTCTACTATCTAGCTGCATTTAGTGTCTTACAGAGTTGTTGTTTCTGTTGTTTTCTATTTCTGTTTTTTTGTATATGTGGAAAGCAGTGGATCTTTGTTCCTCCTTCTCCAAATAATGTGTGAGGAAGGAAGAGCCTACATGATAGCTTTCTACATTTCTGAAGAGCCTACATGATGGCTATCTAAGAGCGTGATAGACTGAAGTTTTTAGCCAAACTAATGGGCTGGGGACTTCTAGTGTCTCCAGAGAAGTTTGTCTTCCTATGCTGTCTTCTTACAACTGTTTCTTTCTACATAAAAACACATAATGCACTTAAAACCTGGTCTAAAATGGAAATAATTTGATCCTAGTATGCTGAACGTTCAGTAAAAAGCTACCTTTGGACTTTATTGGGAAGTATTCTTTGTGTTGCCTCTTGTTCCATATGATGCTGATCAAAATAAAATTGCTGGCAGCCAGTTATTATTCTAATTGGTTTAAAATGTGATAAGTCTTGTTTCAGGTTACAGATGCTTTGCACTTCAGGTGAATGCTTACAAGTAGAGATGCCGAGTGGATTGGTCTTTTATGTGTATATCAACCCTTGTTCTTGGTCTTCATATGCACTGTTTAGGTTTGTTAGGTACACAGTGATATGGCTTCTTATCATCATGGGGAAAAGATGACAACTTCCTAGCTGTTCTACCAGCTAGTTATTTTTAAATTAATTTAGGTGTTTGCAAAGTAAATGCAGATAGCTTCTAAATTACTTATTGTTTTTTGTTTCTTGAGCCTTTTTGATGATATAGTTTGTTTGTTTTTAAGTGGTTTAAGAAATACCTCTACGCAAGTGCCTTATTAAATGCTCTTTGTGTAAGACAGCAACTTATTCCTGCTTAATTCATGTACTTTAAAACTGTGGTTAGTGTGGTCCTTGTTGGAATCCCTTTAGATAAACAGATGGAAATAAACTGTTTTAACCATCAGAGTGAATGAAACTTAATCTTTTTGGGGTGCTTGAAACTAGATGAGGTAGTTGCAACTAGATGGTATTTAATGTCCCTTCCTACTCCACCCACTGTATGATTCTGTATGATTTTCTTGTTATATATGTCACTGGAAGGCACTAACACTTCTTGAGTTTTGGGGTTTTCTTGTTTGTTTGTTTCCTTAACATTTTCCTCCTTTAGAAAGTTATACTCACCTTAAAGTGAAAGGAGGAGGTGAATGTGTCCGGGGAGCAGAAACTGTCATGTGGAATCTGCCTGCATCACAAGTAACGAATCTGGGAATAAAAAGGGAATCAAAGTTACTTTTCTCTGGAATGAGGCAGTATCTCAACAAATAAATCAAAATGTGCAAAATGTGATGATGGACCTGATTTTAAACTTCACAAATGAAATTAGAGTAGTTGCATTTTCCAAAAAAATGGATTGAAGAACACTTTTGAACTTTGTTCAAGTGTCATTTCTGTGATTCTCAGCTTTCTGATTTTTCTTAATCCCTTTCCAAATGGCTCAGATTTGCCCAGGCTCTGTGTTGCAATCCCACTCTATTTCATGGCATTTCACTACAGGAGATCTAAAAAATCAAACCCTATCTTTGTTGCTTGCACACTTGTGACTCTCTCTTGCCACCTTGCAGTGCTGCACTTCATGGAGTTTTTCATACCTGCTTGTCAATGCTTATTGCACTGTTTTGACATTCTGAAACATGAAACTGGCAATGCTTTTTTTTACTGATCACTTATAAGGAATTACTGACTAAAAAGAAAGGTGTTTCAATTCAGAACACCAGAGAAACAAATAGAAAATCCGCACGCAAACTGCTAGTAAGAATGTGCATACTATGACAGCAGGATGGTTTCCTACTACTGTGCCACTTTAGTTTTTGTTAAAGCAGAACCGGAGTTCAGCCACAGCATGCTTTCTCCCTGCAGGGTTCTGTCTTTATTATCCTTGTCAAATAACATAAGCCTAAGATTTTTCTTTCATATTAAAAAGACATTATCTAAAGAAATATACATTGTTCCCTACGAAATTAGTGCTTCTTTTTCTTATCAGCTCAGAAAGTGGTTCTTATTAGAGCTGCATGACCTGAGCATAGCTCTCCCTGTCCTATTTCTTCTTCTAACAGCCCTACTAGTTTTCTCAGTGAGTGAAGCCATGTGTTGTCTGTAGGGAAGTGCTGTTTTCAGCCTCTGGTTCTTTCTGTGTGGATATATGCTTTATACTAGCACACACCTTGAGGCTATACAATGTTATTCCATAATTTTCTGGGGGCTGCTGTTAGTCTTTGGAGAAAAGCCATCTACTGATGGCTGCCTGCAAAGAAAGTGGGAGGAAGTGAGACAACAGTTTCTTGCACAGTTGCATTTCATGTAGGTGAAGCAGTGGAGCAGGCATGCTGTTGTTTAGCTTTTGGCAGCCTCCAGCATGTGTGTGCTTTGACTGCTGTTGATACCGTATGCAGCATGCCTGTCAGCCCTCACCTTCCTGGGCACCATTTTCAGTTAGCTGTCTCCTTCTTTGTTATCCAGGTGATCTTGCAGGCTGATCCCTCAACCTCCATCCAAAATTCCTCTCTGCTGTTCAAACCTACTGTTTACATTTATGTTGGATTTGGTTCTTTTTCTTCAGCAGTTTCAACATGTGAAATAACTCCAAAATTCATCTCATAGTACCAGGAAGACAGAGGTCACTGGTGCTGCTGTGGTACTGGGTGGAAGGTGAGGATCCTTTTGCTGCCTACTTTCCCCTTGGCTTAGTAACATGAGTGCCCCGGGCAGAAGCTGCCAATATAGCTGAGGTTCATGTGGCACTGACTGCTTTGCAGTTGTGAGCACAAGAAGGAGGAGTTGCCAATTGGGCCTCACCTCACCTGGCTGTGTTGGGAGCCAGTCTTTCCAGGGGGTGGCAGAAACAAGTTACCTGCTGCCTGAAGCACCTTTGCTGAGGAGCTGTGGCCCAGCAGAGCGCTGGTGACTAAGCTTTCTCTATAGCTGGCACTTGGCAGGGCCCTTAACCTCAGCAGAGATGACTTGCTGATGCCTGAAGAGCCGGTTTGGCCCAGAGATGTCTCAGCCCAAGTGCTTCAGCCCGGTGGCCTCTCCCCGATGTAGCAGGAAGTGGTTGGTATAAGAGCCACACTACCTATTTTAAAGGTGGTGTACTGTAGTGAAGTGGTAATAAAAACCTTGTTACATTGCTCAAGCTAAGTATTTAGCTTGAGTTGCGTTCTAGAAGCTGTAATTTCACAGAATCACAAAATGGCCTGGGTTGGAAGGGACCTCAGGAGTCATCAACCTCCCTGCCACACGCAGGGCCACCAACCTCCACGTTTAATACCAGACCAGGCTGCCCAGGGCCCCATCCAACTTGGCCTTGAACACCTCCAGGGACAAGGCATCCACAACCTCTCTGGGCAGCCTGTTCCAGCACCTCACCACTCCCTATATTTTCCTACATCTGCATTGTGTATTGCTTTGAGAGACATTGATCTGAGAAGCCGGTGTTCAGTCTGTGTGCATATGCTGCTATGGTGCTTTTGCTTCAGCGTTTGCTTGGTTGTTGTATGGGCACTGCTGAGGCACGGCCTGAACCTCTGATTGATCACCTGAGGCGAGCCATGAGTCAGCCAGAGGAGCACAGGTGAAGGCAATTCTCCTGTGCTGCTGGAAGGGGTGGAGCCTGGCTCCAGACCTCCTGGACCTATTTAAGAGCTGGCTACCAGTGGGGAAGGATCTCTTGTGGAGATTGCTTCTGCTGGAGTTTTGTGAGTGAGCCCAGGATAGGGGTAAGCCTATCTCTTTTGTTATCATAGTCTGCTTTGCCTAACTCTTTCTTATTTTGTGATTATAACATCCTAATATTCTTTCATTATACAGTTGTGCTACACCTCTCTCAGTCTAAATTCAGGTTCCACCACAGTGATAGATAAAAAGGTGGTTTTCATTGTAAATCTTAAATTTAGATAGATTCTGTTAGCTCCACACTGTTGAAGCACACAGACCAAGTTTAATTTACCTGTTTGAGAAGTAAGTTATATATGAGGGAGCTGTATGTACCAACCCATGCGTAAGGAGGGCTTCAGATGTTTCTGTTATTGTCTATACCTCAGATGGTGAGGGGGAGTTTAAATGATGAATGTACGTATTTCAAACTTAGAAATTGCCAGTGTGCACACAGGTGTGATGTTTAAGGCCCTTTCTGGATGTTCAAATCATCAAAGTACGTGGTTGTTGAGGGTTTTTTTTGTTTCTGTAAGGACCTTTTATCATATAAGAGTGGTGCGTATTTGCTGGCTGGGAATTGTTAGATTTACAGCTGCTGGTACAATCTTAAATGGTTTCTGTTGTGTACATCTTGATACAGACTTAAATTGAAAGATGATTTTTTTCTCTTTTAATTTCTGGTTGCTGTTTTGGCAAACAGGTTTGTGTTTCATTGCTGGGTTTCTTTTTTGGACTTTGGGATGGAAAATGTATTTCTATGTACAGCTTTGGATGAGCTGTTAATTATTATGTGGTTGGCTTCCTGAAAGTTTGGCAGTTGTTACTCTGATGTTACTGCTGGATAAGAGGCATAGAAAATGATTCTGTGCATTTGCCTTAATAATAGTATGCATAAGACTGGGTCACCTATCTTAAATGCCATTTTTGTCATTGAAATCTTTATTTGTATGCTGTTTCTTTGTTTAACTTGAGCCTTGAATTCAATTTTATCCATTTTCAAGTGAAATGAATTGGAACGGTACTTACTGAACAGCATTAGGCATCCTGTAATATCAGATCTGAAGACTTTCATGCCATGTATTCAAAAGTCACGTTTTCTTTTGACCTTAATCGCTTCTAACTGTGATGTGTGTATGTGTGTGTATATATCTACACATTTGTCAGGCACTTCAGTTTGGTGCTGTATTATTCTGCTTGACCTAGGAAGCTTGTTTTCCCGTGTAAAGTTTTGCAAGTAACCAAAATAATGTGTATCCAAATGTTCTGATTTCCTTTTGGTGCTGGTTTGTGTACAGAGGTTGTCAGAAGACCTTATGTATCAGTGTAGGGCTTAAATGTGCGAAGAAACCCCAAACATTAGTAGATTCTTTAATTTTTGACACAGTATGGAATTACATCTGTTCCATTTTACATGTTTTCCATGGTGTTAGTCATGACAGAATGTGACTGGCAAGGGATGAAATTGCTTCTATTCCTGCTTTTTTTTTTTTTTTTCTTGACAGCCAAGTGGAATTTGCTCTTTGTTAAAGTGACAACAGTTCTAAAGTAATTAAAATTATTTCAGGAGAGCTACAGAGAGATTAATTTTGAAAGAGAGGTGTGGTTTAAAGTACCTGATACAGTGGAACGTGCAAATCATGAATGTATTCTACTTATTTTGGGTTCTGTTGCTGTTTGAGCAATTCTACTGCATATTTTTTCTAATGAAAGAAGGGGGAGATCAAAAGAAAAAGGTGGAACCGAGATCAAGGCATTTTGCTGGTTACTGAATATCTTGATTTAAAAATTAAATTCTAGAGCATGAATATTAAAACCGCAGTACTATGAACTGTGCTGGTCTTGCTTTATTTTTGCTATAACACAGTCCTTGGTTAATGTTCTGTTAAGTGGGTATGTACTGAATTTAACAGATAGAATTGAGAGTTAATAGAGCATTTGGCTTTGCTAATGTTTCAAAATTTCGAAATACTAAAAAGGGGAAGAGAACTGCTTGCAGCTTGTTACAGAGCGGTCTGAATCTATTTCTTATTGTTTGCTCAGTTACATCTAAGCAAAGTCTCTAGCCCTTGTGGAAAAGGGAAGGAGCTCTGTATGCTGCTCCTGCTGTATTGTGGCAAGGGCAGAAATGCTGTCTTTACAAGCGGAAAAGGGAAATTTATTTGTCTACAGACAGACTTTATGGGAAATGTAGTGAAATTCCACTCTTGCAGCACAGTTCACCTTTTACTAATAGTTTTTGAAATGAGATGTTTT